CAGCCTGGGCTGCTGTGAAATGTGGAGGTTGGTGGCTTTGCGTGCAGTGTGGGGTTGGAGTCTGTGATCCTTGAGCTCCCTCCCAACCCAAACCATTCTGTGATTCTGTGATCCCCTCACCCCCGAAGTAGGAGCCGTCGGACAGTTTGGTCTCCTTGTTGCCCTTGGTGAGGATGCTGACCACCCCGTGCTGGATGAAATACATCTTTTTGCCCACGGTGCCCTCACGGATGATGAAATCCCCAGGCTGGAAGACCTCGAAGCGCAGCTTGGTGAGCATGGCAGTCACAAAGTTGGGGTCAGCATTGGCAAACAGAGGCATGTTGGCCACCAGGTTGCGACAGTTGAAGTTGATGATCTCCTGTAAGGCGAGGAGCAGCTCAGTGGGGACGTAACCCAGCCCAGCACCGACCCCACAACCCTCCCTCCCCACCAAAGGGCCAATCCTGCACCTCTTTCAGCGGCTCGCTGAGCTCCCCCAGGATGTTCTCCTCGTCGAACATCTTGCCTTGGTAACGATGCTCGTAATACTCATGGATACGTTGGCGGGTGTCACCGGGCAGCTTGTGGAAGGACATGTACTGCTCCACCTGCTTGTACTGCAGGGACAGCACAGAGCCACGTTGGGATGCGTTGGAATGAGGGAAACGTGATGGGACTCAAGAGATGCCCACCCCACAGATCCCACCCCAATGGGTTCACTCAGACCCCAGGATGGAGGGAAGGATGGGAGCTTTTTTACATTGGGGTGAACTTCAGCACCACCAGTGGGTCATCCCAACCCAACTGGGAGCCCATAGGGTCATAGAATCACCCAGGTTGGAAAAGACCTTAAAGATCATCGAGTCCAACAACGAGCTGATCATCCTACCCCAATTAACAGCCCTCTGCTCAATCACGGCCCTGAGCACCACATCCAAATGCTTGTGAAACACATCCAGGGATGCTGAGCCAACCACCTCCCTGTGCAGCCCATCCCAGTGCTTAACAACCCTTTCTGTAAAGAAATTCTTCCTGATACCCAACCTAAACCTCCCCTGGTGCAACTTGAGGCCGTTTCCCCTCATCCTGTCACCAGTGAGAAGAGCCCAGCCCTGCTGTGCTGTGAGCACTTTCAGATATTGGCAGAGAGCAATAAGGTCTCCCCTCAGCCTCCTCTTCCCCAGACCAAACAGCCCCAGTTCCTTCAGTCTCTCCTCATAGCCCATATTCTCCAAGCCCTTCCCCAGCCTTGCTGCCCTTCTCTGGATCTGCTGCGTCACTTCAATGCACTGAGTTACCCAAACCTGGGCACAGAACTGGAGGTGAGGCTTCACAAATGCTGAATACAGGGGCAGGATGACATCCCAGCTCCTGCTCACCATTCCTGATCCAAGCCAGGATGCCATCGGCCTTCTTGGCCAGCCAGGCACACTGCTGGCTCACACTCAGCCCACTGTCCATCAGCACACCAAGCTCCCTTTCCATCAAACAGCTTTCCAGTCACTCCTCCCCCAAAACCCTGTAGGTTTGCCTGGGGTTGTAGTGACCAAAATGCAGGACCTGACACTTGGCCCTATTGAAACTCATCCAGTTAACCTCGACCCATCGATCCAGATCCATCTGTAGTGCCTTTCTGCCCTCAGGCACATCAACACTCCCTCCCAATTTGATGTCACCCAAGGACAGGCAACCTTCACTTTGGCTTCTTGACCCCGTCGTGCCAAAACGAGCCCCCTAACGATGGGGGCACAGCCCAGACCCCCCCCTCTTCCCCCAAAACTGACCTTCTCCTGGTATTGACGACGGGAGGAATCCAACGACTGGATGAGGGCTGTGGCGTGGCCGATGAACATGGCATAGCAGGTGGCACCCACAATCATGCTCAGCATCGTCAGCCAGACGTCGGTCATCCCCTCGGGTGCCTGCTGGCCGTAGCCAATGCACAGCATGTGGCTCATGGCCTTGAACAGAGCGTGTGAGTACTGCTTCCCCCAGGAGTCGTTCTGTAAGGAGAATGAGGAGCTGGAAGGAACTGAGCTGAGCCCCCCCACCCCACCTCGGTGCCCCTCCTCACAGCCTGGACCTCCCGAGCATCAACGGGAATAAAAGCATTTGATGGAACCCAAATGCAACCCTGCACTTGGAAGGACATCAGGACAGGTTCTGGGTTCTCAGACATGAAATTCCTTTGATCCAACTCCAGCAGCAGCCAAGATAGGAACAGGATGAAGGCATGGCCCCATTGTTGCCATGGGGATCCGGGCAGCTCCAAGCCTTGGGAAGCATTTGGAGCATTGGAGACTCACCACCATGTGGTTGATGGAGACCCAGCAGTCCTCAGGGAAATCCTGGAGCATCGGCACCAGGAACTGCAGGCAGCCATCCCAGTGGCACAGCAGCAGCATCATGCCAATGAGGTTGAAGATCCTCACCACGGCGCTGGCCAGGTCGTACGTCATGTGAAAGATCTGAGAAATGGGAGGGAGAGGAGCTGCAGGGAAAACACATCCGTCCCCCTTTCTACCCCATAGCCAAGGATCCCTGACCAACACAACAAAAAGGGGTCTGAAAACCCCCCCGGGGGAGGGGGGGGATGGTGGTCCCACCTCCTCCCATTGGTGGATGTAGCGGATGAGACGTGAGAGGCGCAGCAGGCGCAGCAGGCTGAGGATTTTGGTGAAGCGAACGATGCGAAGAGCACGGGCTGTTTTATAGACATCAGAGTCAACCTGCGTCTCCAGATCGACGATGAGGAAAATGTAATCGACTGGGATGGAGGAGATGAAGTCGACCAAGAACCAACTCTTCAGGTATTTCATTTTGATGGTGTGAGGATCCAGGATGATCTCTGTGTTGTCTTCCACCACGATGCCCGTTCTGAAGTTCAGGACGAGGTCGGCCAAGAAGAAAGTGTCCGAAAGGACGTTGAAAACGATCCAGGGAGGGGTGTTTTCGTCCTTGAAGAAGGTGATGCCCACGGGGAGGATGATCAGATTGCCCACCATCAGCAGCAGCATGATGAGGTCCCAGTAAAACCTGCGGAATGAGGTGAGAGAACAAATCCGGGATCAAAGTTTGAGCCCAAACCCATCGCAAAAATGAGAGCTCGGGGCTTAGAGGGGTTTAGAGAGAGCTCAGCTGGTGGTGCAACGAGGGCAGAAGCAGCGGGGTGGCACAGGGACTCGGATTGGGGGGGGATTGGGGGGTCTGCATGGACCCCATCAGCCTTCGCTCGGATTTGTGCCGATGTTCTGCATCCCCATCCATGGGTAAAAGAACCTCGGGATCCCAAATGGGATCCGTGGAAAGCAATGTGGGTGTCCCACATCCTCTGCTCTGCAGAGGGGGGGGGGAGAAGAAGTCACAGCACCACGGGGGTCCTGCGGTGTGTCGTCGTCCCCCCCCCCCGGGGAAGGGGCTGTGAATCCCCCGGGGGCCACGGATGGATCGCTGTTGGGGAGGGGATGGAAAGTAAAACCTCATCCCCCCCTGACCCCCCTCCCCTCCCCAGCAGAGCCGCCGCCGCCACCGCCGGGAGCTCCTGACTCAGATTTCGGCTTAAGCTCTTTAGGGCAGCGCCCGTCCGTCCTTCGCTCGGTGTCAGAACGGGCACGGCTCGCTCGGCACGGCCTCGTGTCTCCCGGTAATGTGATCAACCGAGGCGTAATCCCGCCCGCTCGTCTCCGTGTCACCTTCAGCGTTTAAGGATCACCAACTTTAGGGCCGTTTAATGGGGTTGGGAGGCCTCGCAGCTCTCCGTGCCGTGGGGATGCGGACCCCGAGCCGCTACAGGTGTCGGGACCGCGGGTCGGGTCGGGGACGTCGCCGGTGTCACGGCTCCTTTTGGGAGATGGCAGCACGGCCGCTTCGTCCCCCGTACAGAGCGCCCACCCCATATGACTCAACATCCCCGTGACGCCCGGGTCCTCCCCCCGCGGTCGTCCCCGCGCTCTCTCGGTGTCACGGAGCTCCAGGCCCCGCTCCCGGGATGGAGCCCACGGTGCTGGGCGGGGCCGCACCCTCACATAGAGGATGGAGGCAAAGCCCGGCGACCCTCGGCTCCTTCTCGGCGGGGGGACGTGGGATGCCCACCGGGGAGCCCCGAGGGACCGGGAGGGGACGAGGCACGGGAAACTCGGCCGAATCGTTTGTGCGGCTGCGGCAGCGGTGGGGACGCGCTCAGCTCAGCTCTCGGTTAGGAGGCACGGCGGCACCGGTCGTTGAGGGGGAAACCGCCGCTCGGTGCCGGTGCGGGGATGGGGCAGAGCGGAGGGAGCCCCGCACTTGTTGCCCCGGTGAGGCGGAGAGCGGCGGGACCGCCTTCAGCACCACGGACAGCGGCGCCGGGATGGAAGCGCCGGGATCGGGACCCGGTGCAGCACCGGGACCCGGCGGGGGGGGGGGGGAGCGGATCCCGGGTCCCACCTGAAGTCGCTGTAGGGGTGGATGATCCATGCACCGGCCGACTTCACCCGCTGCCGCTCGATCTCCACGGCCCGGTGGCTGCCGAACATGCGCAGCGAGAACTTGTTCACGGCGGGCTGCAGCATGGCCCCGAGCTGCCGCTGCACGAACGTTCCCGTTCCCGTGCCTGTTCCCGTGCCCGTTCCTGTTCCCGTGCCCGTGCCCGTTCCCGTGCCCGCCGCCGCCGCCGCCGCCTCGCCCTCCGCCACGATCTGCTCCGCCGGTGAGGCCGCGCCCGGAGCCCCGGCGGTCGTCCCCGCTCCGCCGCGCCCCGCCGCCTCCCCATCCAGCACCGGCGGCTTTTCCCGGGGCTCGGGGCTCCGGCCCGGTGCCGCGTCCATCCCGCCGCCGCCGCCGCCTCCGCCGCCGCCGCGCTTCACGTTTCCTTCAAACGCCCTTGCCCAGGCGCCCTGCCCGCCGCCCCGCCGCACATGCCCGGCCCCGGGCGGCCTCACGCTCGCCGCCCCCCGGGGGGTTCGGTCACCGGCTGCGTTCTCTCGCCGTGCCCTCGGCTACGGCCCGCCGCCCGCCTGTTGCGCACGCCCCTCAGCTTTTTCGAATCCAGACCCCGCCGCCAGCGGAGAGGCTTCGGCGGCACCGGAGCGGCGGCACGGAGCAGCGAGGCCCGGGCGGCGGCAGCGGCGGCGGCGGCGGCGGCGGCGCGGGACCCCGCGGCGGGCGGAGCGGAGCGGGGCGGGGCGGCGCGGGCGGGTCTGCGATGGGCGTGGTTTAGGCGAAGCCACGCCCACATCCAACCTCCAGCCCCGCCCACCGCCGTCGCGGCGTGACGTCACGCGTGCGTGCGTGCGTCGTGCGTGCGTGCGTCGTGCGTGGCCTGCTGGGACCCGGATCGACGGCGGCGGGGTCGGGGCGCGGCGGCGGCGGTCGGGCCGAGCGGCGGAGCCTGAAGAGCCGGAGCGGGGCCCGGGATCCCCGGGGGCTCCACGGCCGCCATCACGGACTTCCTGTGGGATAAGCGCACCGGGCTGGCTGCGAGGACGGTGCGGATCGAGGGCGGGGTTGGGCCGCAGGGGACGGCGGGGATCCCGGGCCGCGTCGCGTCTGACGGCGGCTCCGCGCTGAGGCCGCGGGGCGGAAAACCGAGCGCTTCCGGGGCGGGCCCGGATCGGCCGAGCGGGCGGCGGGCGGCGGGGCGGCGGGGTTCCCCGCCCTTCGGTCCCGGTTTTCGTTTGGCGGCCGAATCCCGGCTCGTCCGCCCTCGGCGCTCCGTGACGCCGCGGTGTTGACCCCGCCCGACGGCTGAGCGACGCCGATCGTCCCCAAACCGGTTCCGGAGCTGCGGAACGCCCCGCTGAGCGCTGGGATGGCTGCGGGGCTGCCTTTAATTACAGAATCGCGGAATGGTTTGGGTTGGGAGGGAGCTCAAGGATCACGGAGCTCCAACCCCCACCAATGCAAAGCCACCAACCTCCGTTTCACAGCAGCCCAGGCTGCCCAGGGCCCCATCCAACCTGGCCTTCAACACCTCCAGGGATGGACGGGGCATCCACAGCCTCTCTGGGCAGCTGTTCCAGCACCTCACCGCTCTCACAGCAAGGAATTTAATTAAAATTCTCTGATTCTACAATCCCAGCTCTGGTGTTGGGATGGTACAGCTTTCGGTAGCGAAAGGGAGGCCAAAAAAAGGAGGGGAGTCAGCTGTTGGAAAGGGGAGATGAGAGCAGGATGAGGGGAAATGGTTGGAATTGAGAGAGGGCAGATTGAAGTTGGGTGTCAGGATGTCAGTTGTGAAGCCCCAGCTGCAGCACTGCGTCCAGGGCTGGGGGTCTCAGGACAAGAAAGACAGGGAGCTGTTGGAGAGGGTCCAGAGGAGCCACAGAGATGAGCAGGGCTGCAGCAC